TATAATTCCCATTGTTATAATAGATTATATCATTTTAACAATGCATTATAATCACATTGATTTTGAAGTTCTTGCATATATTTAATGTTATTTAAAGCAAACAATGCAACTACATAGAGTAACTTATAATCACATAATGCATTATAACAGTGATTATTATTAGTTACGAAAACAATGTATTACAACTATGAAGATTATAAAACACTATGATCCTATGACACTATAAAAAAGTGACTGAACTATGAAGTCATGATACTTGACCTTGTAAATCATTACAAAATGCTTTATAATGTGTTCTGATTATTGTTTTAAAGCCTCATGAATATTAATGAATGCTTATAATGATGCAGTGCTATAAGCATTGGCAGTATGTTTACTCTCAGTATTTCCTGCAGTAAGGAAGTCACCTGTCTCTCTCTCCTCTCTCCTCTGTCTGTCTCTGGGTGAGCTCGTGTTTCCTGCTACAAGGAAGAAGCATATTTTAAACACACACACACACACACACATTTTTACTGCTCCATCCGTGGTAGCGACTCACAGGTTTGAGGTTAATTTAGTTTGTTTTTCACACAGCCTCACCTCGCGGAGCGTCCCTGCTCCTCACGTCTTGACTCTTGATACCTGAAAGACACAATGTGAACATCCTGTTTAACAGGGAGTGCAAGTTGAATTTGTTTGTTTTTTTTCCAATATTGTCACATGTCAGTTGGCATCACCTCGTCTGTCTGCGCTCCGCGAGATGCTGGGAGAGGCTGTGAGACGAGACAGAAATCATGTATACGTTACGCTGATTTATATTAAAGATGATGCGATGTCGTGATGGTGGATAAGATGAAGACTTGAAGACACTGGACGTACCTGGAGGGCGGCTGTTTGTGTTGCGAGAGCCCAGACCAAACACTGTAGGAAAGAAAAGAGGAGGAAATGAGTTTTTATGAAATAACCACTTTCAGGAATCCTCTCATATTTATTCAAAAATAAAGAAACAAACTCACATTTTAAAATCCCTGCTTTCGACCCTGCGCTCCGGTTGGCTGGATAAGACAAGAGGAAGTTAAGCAAAGACGACTCGCTTTTGTTTTCATGTCAAAATGTTTGGAACTTACAGTCTTTCAGCGTGAACAGAGTGGTGTTGTTGACTGGAAGAGAACAGACGAGATTAGATGAAAGATAGGACGTGAACAGAGGCGGGACCAAGCGAGGTGAGACTCTGGTGACGGACCTTGTTTGGTGATCTTGCTCAGCTCCTGGTTGCACAGGTCCTCCACGCGGTCCTTGAGGTCCAGGATGGCTTCCCGCACGGGCTCAAAGGACGCTTCGGGGTTGACCGTCACGGCGGGCAGGTCCCCCGACTCCAGCGGGCTTGATATGGCCTCGCACGCCTGAGAGAAAACATGGTGGCTGGTTTAGTGTCAGGGGTGGCACGTGTAGTAGTTTGATTGACTCTTTCCGTCTCCACGGTCCGGCCTACCTCCAGGTAGTGGATGTGGTCCTCGCAGCGCACCAGGTCCCGCATCTCCGTCTCCCTCCTCCTCAGCTCCTTGACCTCGGCCTCCAGGCTGTCGACGACGTCCTGGGCCTGTCCCATCTTCTCCAGGCCGGCCTGGTCCAGCACCTCCTCCAGCAGCTCCTGCAGACGCTCCACCGAGCGCTGCAGCTCCGCCAGCACCTGCTCCGTGTCGCCGTGCACCCGGTCTGCGGAACGCTGGGAGAGAGGAGGAGGTGGTCTGATTAATATCTGAAACAACTACCGCAAGGGTTTATGGGAAATTCTTGTTTTGAGATTACAAACATCAGCACAACCGACCAACCTTCATCCCATCCATCATCTTCTTCATGTCCTTCAGCTCCTGCTCGCGGTCTTTCAGCCTCTGCTGGTTCTCAGTCTGCATCTCGTACAGCACTTTCTGCAGGAGGGGCACACAGGAAACAATATCCAATATCCAACTCATGGGAAAAACAACAAGGAAACAGCCATGTGTGTGTGTGTGTGTGTGTGTGTGTCACAGAGGACAACGTGACAGGGTGGAGCGTTATGATTGGACAGGAATGCAGTAAGGAATGTCCTCAGCCCGGCTGGAGCCACGGAGACACACAAAAAGAGAGAGGACGACACCCTCGAAGACACAGAAACCCATCAGGCTGAACAATGGACGGTCAGGTGATATGGTGATATGCAGCACACAGTATTGTTCTAAAAACAGCTGCCTGTACTTTCTATTCAAGGTACCTGTTTCTCCAGGCGCTCGGCCTTGGTGGACACACACTCGTGGCCCTTGTGCTGGTTGCTGGTGCACAGCCAGCAGACGAACATCTTGCACTGGCGGCAGTAGAACTCCTGCAGGTACTTGTGCTGGGTGCAGATCTTCTCCGCCAGGTTGGCGGTGGGCGCGATCAGCTCGTGTGCCCTCAGGGCCTTCTTGTTGGTGTGGGGCTTCAGGTGGGCCGCGCAGAACGAGCTCATGCACGACAGGCAGCTCTTGACCGCCGCCTGCGGCTCCCCTTTGCACAAGTCGCACGGCACCGCCGAGGAGGAGGAGGAGGAGGAGGACTTCCCTTTGGATCCGGACGAGGAGCGGGTGCTCCGCATGGATTCACGCACGTCGGCCTTGAGGGCCCCTTTGCGGAGCTGCTCCACCGCCTCGGCCAGCATGGTGTTCCTGGACAGGGAGGGCTTGGGGCTGTAGGTCTTTCGGCACTGGGGGCAGCTGTAGACCCCCTTGGGGTCGTCCTTGCTCCAGTAGTCCTTGATGCAGCCCATGCAGTAGCTGTGGCCGCAGGGAATGGTGACCGGGTCATTCGGGAGATCCAGACACACGGGGCAGTTGAACTGCTCCTCAGTCCACAGTTTAGCGCTCATGCCGGCGGTGGAGAAGAGACAGGAGAGGATAGAGAGAGAAAATTTCCGAGCAGAGCTGTGAAGGAGGTGAGCCTCGTCTGGACTGACGTGGAAGAACGTTCTGTCTCTCGAGGTGAGAGCAGGGAGAGGTTGGGCGGGCGGGGCGGGGCCAGAGCCACTGGGCAGGTCTAGCGGGGAAAACGGGTGTAGGTGGAAAACTGCTAAAGGTGTGTGAATGGACTGATCATTTTATCATTGCACAAAAAACAAGTGGTGTATTCAGTATTCAGATCTTTTACTTTAGTAAACATACCAATACTACAATGTCACAATGCTCTGTTACAAGCAAGAAATAAATCCAGCATTTAAAGTCCTACTTCAGTAAAGTAGATAAGAATGTACGTGCTGGAAATATTCTTAATATGACAAAAGTTATACAAGGAACTGTGAGTGTCAGAGCACCTTTCGATGATGAGATTGTCAAATTAAATGTGTGAAATTAGTGTCCCAATAATTCAAGTTTGGTTTAACTCTTAGACTTAACTGTGAATAAAGTCCTATTTAGAAAATAAATGATGTGAAATGCCTCTTCTTCTTCCTCCTTTCTAAGAAAGGCCTATATTGTATCTATCAAAGCCAAGTGAGCTAAAAGCAGTGATTGCAGCCAGTTAACAGTTATCGTAATATAGACCTACTATAAATAGATATACACTTAGCAAATCGTGTCGCTAGGTGGCAGTGTTACACCAATGTTTAGTGGCTACAGCTGCCGCTTTTAAATGTAATTATTGCCCATTATGTGAAGAAATAACCAATTCTAGAAGTTATGGAGGTCATGCTGCTGAAGCGCCCTGAAGCCAAAGAGTGTTTGTCATCTACAGCGCAGCCAATTCAGATAACCAGCTAAATATAACAATTAAGACGGTATAATGTGGAATATCTGCAACTTATATACCATTATATTGTTGCCACCCTATAAGTCTGAACCAAAGAAGACGTTAATGTACCAAAGTAGAGACAGCAAGAGAGGGCCTGGTCTACCCAACGATTTTTTTTTTCTTTAAAAAACGAAGACGGAAGTGCTGTAAATGAATCCTCTCGTACCTCCCAGATAGCTACTACTGAGTATACCAACGGTGTGTTTAGCTAACGCTGTGTCACTTCTGAGTGGCCCAGATGTCAGATAGAACCGTGAGACGTCCAGGAGTCGGGGTCGGGGTGCTGGTGACAGACTCGGCCCACCCCGGCTGTGTTCTCCTGGGGAAACGGAAGAGCCCAATAGGCCACGGGACGTACCAGCTCCCCGGGGGCCACTTGGAGTTTGGGTACGTAACTTATGCAGCTACAGCGGTTGGCTAACCCCATTCATAAATCTGACACGGCTATATAACGTAAGGCCGTTCACGAACGTTCAAAACTGGCCTTCATTCATAAACAGCCGACGGCTGTTGCATCATTACATACACTTTACGGCTTTCACTATGATGTGTTTTTCTGTCATTAAGAGTGAACTTACAACAAACTAAAAAACGTCTACGCCAGTTATCAATATGCCGACTTCCCCCCAAGTGTTCAGCAAATATGAAGACATGTTCTGACTTTGCATTGTTACACGTGTTTGCTAAATAAGTGTGCATAAAGACTAATTTGCCATTTTTTTAAAGGCAGTTTGGTTTGAGGTAGTGAGTCTGGGTAATCATTTTGGGTCATCTTAAAGCAAATTGAGGTTAGGTGAGTAGAGGCAGGAGACTAAATGTGTTCCTCAATGTACATGACATGGATGACTTCCAGTGGATGTGACGCACTCATTTCTGTGTCATTGAAAGGGAGACGTGGGAGGGGTGTGCTCACAGAGAGGTGTTGGAGGAAGCAGGGGTGCGTTTGGTAGACGTCTGCTTCGCCTCGGTGATGAACTCCATCAGACTGGAGGAGCAGTACCACTACGTCACCATTATCATGCAGGGAGAGCTGGACCGGAAGCAGTCAGGAGAGCCAGAGAACCTGGAGCCGGAGAAGAACGAGGGTATGTGAAGCAGAGCGAGATTTAAAAGCAGAAAAAGAGAAGAGTCCTACCTAACTGAGCAGTGTGCGTGGTTGTTTTCCTTTCCCAGGTTGGGCGTGGACGCCGTGGGACCGGTTTCCTCCAGAGGAGCAGCTCTTCTTTCCCCTAGCAGGTCTGAGACAGCAAGGCTTCCAGCCGTTCAGGATCACAGGGACACGCAGTGCTGAAACTCAGCTTTGAAACGGCCTTGTTTCATTGGGAAACATTGATCCTTGGGATAGAACAGACATACCTCTTTGTTTCACATCACTGGTTGGTTTACAAGTTCTTTTTCTCAAACATCATGTTCTTTTATTATGGTACATACTGTAATGGGCTTCACAATGTTTAAAGTAAACACATCAACACAAGAAAAATGGCACATTTTAAAGATCTTTATTCTTTTTTTTTTTTTTTTTTACATTTTGGCACAAGATAATGCTATTTATATGTCATGGCTTGAGCTGAAAGCCGTGCAGGTCAGTTTCCCCTCCTCACATCAGGGTGTTGCCGGTGACACCCACTGCTAACAGCATGGTCCACAGGGTTGCGGCGGCGGTTGCCACGGCACCACTAAAGGTCTTGTCGTGGGCGTAGGTGATGATGTGCAGGGCTCCGCTGTAGGCCTCCTCGCACGCCGGCTGGATCTGATCCTCCGGGAGCTCGAAGCCGAACGTCCCTTTGTCCCTCAGCTCAAAGGTGTAGGAGAAGGGGATCCCCAGCATCCGAGCCCAGTCCCTGGATGAACCGGAGTTGGGGTCTGTAGAAAAAAGAGGGCACAGAGTTTTTACCGTTCCGTCCCTCGGAGCCACGCTGCCCTGCACGGCTGAGAGCGACGAGGACCGGCGGTGACTTACACAACACGGCCGGTGAGGTCCCTACGGTGTAGTTCATCCCGTGGACCCTCCTGATGGCGTCTGCTGCACCCAAACCCACCTCCATCTGAGGAACCAGACGTTCGCTTTCATCATACAGTCATCGGAAGCATCTATGCTGCAGGTTTATACTAGTATTGAGTGCACTGATGAACAAAAAAACAAGGCAGGAAATGCAGATTTCAGGTTTGTGTTTCTGGTCTAAAGATAATGGGATTTTTGACGCTGATTTTGATATGAAAGAGTTTTTTAACAAATCTGATATTTCAGCCAATAGTAATGTTTTAAAAACAAACACACAGAAGACCTGACCGGATGTTCTCACATCAATTCAAGCGTCTCTGTGTTTATGAACCAATCCCGCTCCAGGTTCCATCCCCCCCTTCGGCTAAAGTCATACTGAAGCCCAAGAGAACGGCTGGACGTAATCCCGATTAGCATAATTTGGGCTCCAGTGGGTTGTTACCTGCATCGGCCTCCCTATCCAATCAGCAACCAGCCATTCGTTTCCCCACTGTCAACGCTTCACAGCTTCCTCCCGCTCTGCTCTGGGCAGATGAGGACCGACCGCTCTCTGGAGTGTGTTCGTGTGACACAAACGAGATGTGGTTTTTGGCAATGCGCCATTCAAACGTTCTGTACGCACAATATTCAATCCCGGACCGTGAGTACAGACGTATTTGTAACAGGTTGTCCCACTTCCACTGTTTGTTTGTTTTTTGTGATCTGCATACACTCATGTGTCAAAACGTGCACGTCTGCGTGTGTACCAGCTCATTGTAGTTGGAGGCGGTGAAGTTGGGGTGTCCATAGGGAACCAGGAGCAGCTGGCCGTAGGAGTGGATGGTGAGGAAACACAGGAAGTCTTCCTTCCGGCTTCCCACAAAATAAGTGACGGCCTGGGCCTCGGGCTCGGACGCGGCTTGGCTCCCGCAGTAGATGTTGGAGCAGCAGTCAAATGACACCCCGATCGCTGTGAGAGCAGCCAAAGAATCAAATGCAGTAGTATCGCCACAATAACTCTATAAGCTAACGTCAATATAATTGTGTGCAAACATTTATGTTTGAAGCGGACTTTTGGCCACTGTGGCCTGTGAAAGAGCATCATGAGACATTGAGTCAATACAACGCACTGATTGGGTATCGCTCATGTGGTAGATTCACGTTTGTATAGCGTCAGCTTTAAGTCAAAGATGTCTGTTTACACACTGAATTCACTTGACGGTAGATACTGCTGTCCCACAATGCAATGCGTAGAAAAATTAAGAATGTTAAGAACTGGGATTTTGAGAGCTGTGGGTATTTATGGCACTGGGTTGCATTGTGGGAATTGTAGGATCCAGCGTTTTCAGCGCTTAAGACCGCTCTTTAAAACAAATGTGCATGGATGAGACTGTTTCAGGGACATTTTGGGGTTTGCGACACAAACTTGCTTATTATCGAGGCAACAGGTTGCATGAATAAGGAGATGGAGAACCACAACAACACTCACTGCCCCAGTTGGCGTTAAAGTTGCGGTTGAGATCGACGCCGGTGCAGTTGCAGCCCGAAGGTCCCGGTGACCTGTTCTTCCTCCACAGTCGAGTCTACGGGGGAAAAGAAAACGTCAATTACATCAGCCGGTTGGGCTTGTTCTATCAATTTAGTAGGATTCAAAATGGGCACTCAAACATACTTCAGTGCTGCCTTGGATTGCTGTTTGATATCATTTTTCCGTCCAACTTATTTTGAAAATGAGATGATCTTCTACTTGGGTCATGCTGAGCACCAGACATCAATTTATTCCCTGATTGAATCGTGGCTCGCTGTAACTTAGCTGCCGTCTCTTTAACAGACCGCCGTCCTCGCATATCCCGCTCATCTGAGGCTCGAGAGCCGGAGGCGCAGCTCAGAACCCCCCCGTGAAAAGTAATTTGATTAGAATCCGTCAAAACGCGAGCACTGACTGTGTTGTCCTTCCAGGTGTGGATGTAGCCGTCCATGTTGAGCACCGGGGTGACGTAGAAGTCCATGTTCTTCAGCATCTCCTGCATTTTTGGGTCTGTTTTGTGCGCTTGCAGGATCTGATTTGAGGGGGGGGGGAACGTTTTGGAATCAATTACATCAAAAAAAAGTCATTTTTAAATGATCACGTGTCTCATACCTGTCTGACAAAGTACTGACAGAAGGCCGGGGCGATCCATTCTCTGGCGTGTATGCCACAGTCCATCCAGATCGCTTTCTTTTCCTCCCCAGTGTTCAGGCCAATCTGGAAGACACATTCATAGAGCTTCTCATCAGGCAGCCACGCAACACAAACAAGCATTTCTGATCTGAATTCAACAAAATACAAAGTCGGCTGACCTTGAGCAAGCTGATGGTCCTCTTCTCGTACGTCTGTCCGTACTCCACGACGGTCACGACATCGGGGTGGTCCTTCGCAACCTGAGCCATCCAGTCGGTGATCTGCAGGAGTGGAACGCATTACGCATCAGAGTGTGTGTGTGAGCGTAGTGGTCTGTCAGAGTGAGGTGTGTCAGAGCGGCGATCGGGGCCTTCTCACCGCCGGCATGGGATGATATTTGTAGTAGTCGTGCTCCACTCTGTTGCGCACAGCAAAAATACGTGAGAAGTACGTCCCACCTCATTGATATCATGCTTTATTTGTGCAAAAGGCCTTCTGTCAGTCAGTGTTAAAGCACAGTGTGTCTTTTTATGAATGAAAACTCACCTCTCTACTGTGGCTGCTCCCGTCGCTGAAAGCAGCACCACGAGGCTCAGTACAGAGCTCAGCATCGTCACGTTGTGAACGTAAACTCCTTCGTTTGAGACTCCTGACCTCCGGATGGTACGAGGCTTTATAGAAGTCGTCCATCAGATAAAGACGCACCTTTGCCTCCGCCATGGACCAGCGGCAGCCCACACGCTATCGTTGTAGCTGGTTAGTGATTAATCGCAGCCGATAGCCTTGACTTTACATCCTTTAGCCTGGTCATGATTTTCTTTTTTTATATGTTATTAGTCGCTAAATATTAATCAAGGTCAGACGGTTTACAAATTCATAAAACAATAGCTATAAAAATAGAGGGCAGCGACATTCAGTTACACTAAATTAACCGCATGTGTTTCTATACTGCTGACTTTTTAAAACGCATCCACTCCAGCTCACTCTTTTCTTCCCTTATTAGTGGAGCACCGGAGGGCATTTGAAGGCGGGGCTGTTCGCGGTCAACAAATTACAGAGCAGGTGATATTTAGTCCTGCCTGTCAAAACTCATGACAGGCAGGACTAATCAGGAACACCAGATGAACTCACATGACACATCGTGTAGTTCATAAGCAGTCCTTGCGCTCTGGAAACACAAGAGAACATGTTTCTAGAATAGAAGAGGGAGAAGATTAGATAAGCGCCATTAAGTCAAAGACATAAACTAAACTAGATGGTAAACATTACGTGCTGAACATCAACATTTTAGCATTGCCACTGAGCGCACACTAACATGACACTTAGCTAGATGGTAAAATTTATGTCTCCATAACGTCAACATGTTAGCATCGTCATTGTACACAAGGCTGTAGACTCTTAACAGTCTTTGTTACCTGAAACTTTTATTATATGCTAATATTTTTGAAATGTATGGCTTGACCTCAGGCATGCAAACTCGTCTATAGTTTCACATTACTAGTATTTATCTAGGTAACTGTTAATCATTATATCAGTGCTTAACTAATTACATGGCACGGTGGTTATATAAGATCATTATCTGGAAATGAAGCCTTGTGTTATCTTGTTTTCCATGCTTTGACATATCAGCACCTGTGATAGAGTCCAACAATAGCTTCTTTGGCATTTAAAACACGTAAGAATTTAGTCTTTGTAATATACTCGAGGGGAAAAAACAATGTTTTATTCATCAGTGAGGCTGAAATGTTGCTGGTCAACAGCAACTGAGCTCAGGTGGACTGCGTGACATTGTAGGCTCAGTCTAATCCAGGTTTTCATTTTGAGAATAACAAGCTATAATGGTATCGCTGAAGAGTCCTCGTTCAGGTCTTCAGATCTCCTAAAGATCGTCTGTGATGCAGTCTTTAGATTTTGTTTTCCCAGCTGTGGTTGCTACTGCTGCTCAGGCAGACTGTCCAGTTCTTCTGATGATTGTGGAGAAGCTTCTGTAGCTGCTGGAGAAATGTCACGATGCTGGGAGGCGGGGCTAAAGGAACCGCTGGAGCGCCAGCTCTACGGGCCCGTAATGCGGACGATCGCCGGACAGATCCGGGTAATTGTATACTCGAAAGCTGTGTCCAGTTCTCTTTATACATCCATGGATATAAATCAGTGAATCTATTAGCCATGTAAAGAGTGATCATCTCCTTTTTTTTAACAGAAGAACAGCATATTCAATGATTCACTGAATATGCCGTTCTTCTGTTGATGAGGTCTAGAGTCTGACTTTACAGTTGATCTACATTCATACAGGTAAATGAAGATTGTAATGACTGTACCTCTCTGCATCAGTACATTGCGCTGTCATGCTGCAAAGAATAAAACACTCAGCAGCATTTCTCCCACCTCCCCTTTCTTTGTACATTGTGATTCCATTGCTGCACTGCAGTAAAACCTTCATACTTTTAGTAATAAGCACAGAGTGGATTTCGGAGTCCGAGCATGCGATTTATTGTTAGGCAGTAAAAAGTTGACATTGCTCTCGATGGACAAAAAACCTTTAACTCGGGCACGTTTGAATGTAAAAATAAATGTGCTGCCACTCTAGCGAGGTCTGCTTTCGTGCAGACAGACGAGGTGGTTTGTAGGAATCCTTCATGTGATGCCTCACCAGCAGATGTCAGTGCAATGATGAGATCAGGTCGAATCTGTAGCATAAGATAATCAGAGACACCCAGAGTACAATGACAGTTACAGACTATCAATGGGAGTAAATCACCTTAAGTTGTCAATAAAAAAGGAAAGCATGTCAACTATTCATTCATGTTCCCCGCTTCTCTAGACCTTTGAGATGGATTAGTGTCGGAGTGCAGTCTTTCCTTTATTCAGAGCTCTATCTGTCTCCGTCTGCCTACACCCCCGACATGTTACCTGAGCCTCAGCAACTCCAGTCTTTGTTCCCACTCCTTTGCTGACATGTGCATCTTGTCTATTGATAAGCTGCTCGTGAGATAGGGAGGCGAGACCTGTCTCAGATCTGGTGCTGTGTGCACAACTCAAAGCGCACATTATGGGCTGTTCCTTCATAATGATGGATGAAAGCACTAATGCTTTCGTGGGAGAGAGGCGGGCCGCTCTGCTGCACTCAGACACAAGCTCAAGGCATGTCGGCGTCTTTAAAGCCACTGATAGCATCTTGAAGTTTGGATTTAGAGATAAGAGATGTCTCCCGGGGAATAGAGATTAATTTAGATATGTGTTGCTACTTCACGCGCTCACTGGTTGCACCTGAAATTCCATACAAGTACGCTAAAACAGTATGTGATATTTTGTACGTCCACAACTTTTATGTGAAACCAATAGAGCACATATTGCATAATATCTCTGGTGAAATATTAGTGTGCACAACACTGGGCACTACGCTGGCATGGATATCCCACAATGCAACGCGGTAGTGGCAACAACGTTCACAACGGACAATGGCGGAGAGCTCTGCAACGTCAAAAACGCTCCAATTTAAGTATAAGATATTCCACTTTGTAGTATATCTTCTTTGAAGTTCAGCTCACAAATCATCGTTGCAAATCACCTGACAGTTTTGTATCCAACTTTTTACGATCACTCCGGCAGTTTACTTCAGCATCGGACTCATGGTTTTACGAGTTAACTTGGAGAGTGCATGCGTGGGGAAAGAGCTGCGTAAACATCGGGACAGACTGCAGAGCAGAGGCTCACCGCCGACTTTTTTCTGGTGCGTACATCCCCTGAGGGTCATTGGGGTGTGGACAAACACAAATGTAAGATACTTACAAGCTTTGCTCAGCAAGACCATTTTCATTAATGATCACCACTTTTATGATATTTGAATCTCAAATGCTAAATGTTAAGCTGTAAACAAACTACACCTGTCGGCGTGATGATGTTTTGTAGTCTCATTTAGCCAATTGTTAGCAACCGCCTTTTCTAAAACACGTAAAAAGCTTCACTGGAGGGGTATTTACCAACGTATTTTATATTGTAGAACAAAATGTTAATTTCAGGCATCTATCAAAAATAACATTGTATAAAAGCTCGTTATTGTCCGTTATTGTCCATGGGGGGGCGACCTTGGCTCACTGGCTTAAGAGGGTTGTCTGGTAACCGCAGGGTCAACGGTTCGATCCTCGACTGGGATGTGTCACGTGTCCCTGAGCAAGACACTGAACCCCCGGGCAGCCCACTGCTCCCTATATACAGGGATGGGTCAAATGCAGAAGTCAAATTTCGTGTATATGTATATGACAATAAAAAGGGATTCTATTAAGTATGAAGCTAGCGCCAGGAGAGGGTTCGCTTATTTTAGCGTAAAGACAGGAGAACAGGGGAACACAGCTAGCTTGACGTACTTGAAGGAGATACACGAGAGTGTAATCGATCTTCTCGTTTAACTCTCGGGCAACAAAGCAAATTAAGTGCGTTCCTCAAAATGTCCAACTTTTCCGTAAAGTAGCCCGAATCTACAGCGAGGAGACGGTTGGAAGACTGGCAGCGAGGGCAAACCAGCTAGCCTGACTCAGAAATGTAAAGATGACACTTGGAGTTAATTAGGGAGCTTTAGAGGTGCTGGTATGCAATCATTTTTTGACCTTTGGACAGACCCGGGCCAGCTTTTCCAGTCCGTGTGCTAATTACATCACAGGATTGGGAGAATATCCTCGGGTGAACAAAGGAGGTTTTTTTTCATGTCAAAGACACACACCTAAGGTCAAGGAGTCCTATTGAGGTACTTTTCTTTTCTCTTACGGGAAAGTTCAACGACCTGTCTGTCTGCACTTAACACGAGGAGGTAATACGCTCATGATAATGAGACACGTGATCACTGTTGTGATTATAATGCCTTCATGGACCGGGATAATGCTCCATCATTTTACAGTGTAAGTAAACTAAATCCTTCTGGAGCCTTGCTGTTAATTATAGTTCTTAGAAAGAAAATCTGAGTCGGCAGGTCAAGGTTTTTCCAAACCGGAATCCACCAAGGACATCCACTCACACACTGATGGCACAGCCTTCGGGAGCAATTTGGGGTTCGGTGTCTTGCATCAGTGACAATGGGGCTGATCTATTCAATAACACACGCCTAATCTACAGTGGAATTGTAATTCCTGTTCATTTTGAAAATCTTTTTACCAAGTTCCACTCATTTTATTATGGCGTCCCAAAGTTGTTCAGGCAATATAATCATGCACCATTCCACTGCCGATGCTGCGAGCAATCCGTTTTTAGTCAAGTTGCAGTTCTCCCGTTTCTAGCTTTCGGAGAGATTGGTGTTTGTTCATCAGTATTGACAGCGCTGTCCTGGGGCACCCGTGAATTTATTTTTTAAATGGGCGGACTCACTGTTCCCTCTTATGCAAATCACAAGCTTTAGTGATTTACCAGAGCGGCTTTTTGCTTCGGTGGATTTCTCCACAAAGATTTTCAGTTCCACTAAAAAAAAATAAAATGCCTCTACTGGAGCAGGATGTTCTGACACCCTTGAGTATCAGAAGGTGAATGGTTCCCCCATCTCGTCAGACATGCTGCTCATGGCCAGCATGTAGACACAGCGAAAAATCAATGTGGAGACGCTGGCAATCTCACCAAAGAACATCGTAGGTTTTGAGAGGAAGCGGGAGGGAGCGACTTTTGGCATTCCTTTTAATAAGCTGTAAAAAACGTGGACGAAACACCAGCACATGTTGGCAAAGATGGAGCAGCACACACACACACACACACACACACACACACACACCTCCCACGCAAGCGCGGTATGAAAGCAGCAACAACAGTGGCAGCGTTCGCTTGTTAAACCATCAGCGGGACTGACAGCAACCATCGAACAAATCCCAAACACAAATAGTGGAGCCCTCCTCCCCCACAGTGCAAACTAATCCCCCCCCACCCAAAGCATCAGTATCCTTTTTCTCAAGTGGTTACACACAAGCTAAAGCCAGAGGCGAATGTTCCCCACAAACAAAGCCATCACGCCGCACATCAGGAGGCCTGCAGGTGGGCCATGCGGCCAAATGGAAAATCTAACAGTGGAAAAATATCAGACTTTCTCCCGTTTAAAACAAAATCATTTTGAAACAGAAGCGTAAACAACAGTGACACTCACCAAAGTGTGAACAGGATGTGTAATATCTTTTCCTGTGCCAAAAAAACAACAATTTGTAACCATGGTACCATCGTCTGCTTTAAATCACCAGACAATTTAAGAAAAAGGTAGCCGGTACCTTCCTCTAAACCTTGTAGAATTGCGGCTATTTGTCCCACTGATTATGTGTCTCCCCTGTGCAAGATCTGGAGGAACTGACAGCATCCATTACGTGACAGAAAGAGATTGTTCTTTTATCGATTCGCCGAAACGGTACATGAAATTAAAACAATACATTGAAAGATGAGTTCTAACAACACTGCTAACTGAGGGTGGGAGCTGGTCTAAGCATTTACAAGGCACAGGCAGCCACCTTTGTTTCTGGGAAGTGAAGCCAATGCAGAAGGGCCTTGAACTTGCATTCTCTCTAATGTCCACCAGGGGGCGACTCCTCTGGTTGTATAGAAGTCTATGAGAAAATGACTCTACTTCTCTCTTGATTTATTACCTCAGCATTCGGTAAGTGACAAACTGCGTTTGTTTTTTTTACATCTGCAATAACGTTACTACTGTTCATTTGTCTATCGTGTCGTTTTTATGAATAATATTTGAATGGCTCGTGCTGTTGTGTGGTGGAATGCGTGGATCCGCTGCAGGTTTGCTGGATTGATATGAATATATGTGACTGGTTCTTATGACTTTGTTCTTGTCATTGTGTTAATTACATTGATTTGACTATGCACTGTCCGTTAAGGACGCAGCGACCCGTCATGCACGGATTCATGTATCTGCACCGTAGCTGTTCAACTGTAGTAGGACAGCACAGAAGGCCCAGGCATAAAATGCACGGCCCGCCACTGCTGTAACTGCTAAAAACGAGCTAACAGCAGTAAAAGGTGCCGTTGTTGTTAAGGTCAAAAGCATGAGCTGAGAGATGCAAAGACGATAAAAGATGTGGGCTTTGACACATTTTATATTTCACTTAGGCTGTCACTTAGAAAAAAAATTGCAATTTTAACTCGTTCAAAGAGGTGAGCCTGAAGTCACCACACCTCACAGCTTTATACAAATAAGAAGGCTGCTCATGTAGCTGTGACTGAATTGTACAGTGACAGTCGTGAGCTGAATGGAGAGAGAGAGAGAGAGAGTGGAGGGAGGAGGAGTGTGTGAAAGAGAGATATTGATAGAGAGAAGAAGAGAGAGAGAGAGCTCCTCAGTTGCCTTAGCAGCAGCTTCATTCCTTCACAGTCCGGTGCTGTGCGCGCTGCGCTGCGCTTCACTTCACGGGGTGTTCCCCTCGCGACCGCGCGCTGATTAACTTCTCACGGTCCGGTTATCATTTTTATTTTTATTTTTTATTTTTTTTTCAAAATAGCACACTCCAGTTTCTCCAAGTTCCACGACGCCTGAAGATAAACGCGACGGTGGCTAATTGATTCCAACGCCGGCTCCGGTGTCGAACAGCGCGCAGGGTGCACGCTAAACAGTACTTCTGACACTCGTCCTGTCGCACGAGGGAGGATGGCTCTGCCTCTGCCGGCGGCGAACGCGAGCGCAGTGTTGGAGATGGTGACGGCGGGCTGTGCGGAGCAGGGCAACCTCAGCGTGGAAGTTGGCGACTACAATGTCAGCTGCCAGAACGGATCCGTCCTCCCTAGACCAGTCGGAGGAGGCAAAGGTAGGATTCATCATCCTCTCCTCATCCTCTCATCCTTACGCCGAGCTGTCGCTCATGAATCACCCAAGCTGAGCTGTGAAACTGTATTCATGCTTCAGATGGAAGTGCTTCCATCGGGCCAAAAAAAAAAAAAAAAAAAGACAAAATCTGGCCCCAAACTGTGTCTTAATTATATTTTATAAATAGTGTGTTGATACTAGGACAAAAAAAAGAAAACAAGTGCATATCTGTAAATATGCCCTACAAAATAAAAGCGCCAAACCCCTTGGTTGAAAGGATGCTTTTATTTTTCCGATTGATAATATTGTTTGCTTCCAACTACAAAACTGCCACCTGACTGATTGCCTGCTTAAGAATGTAATCAGCAGACCCTACGGTGATTTCATCACAAATATTACGTTTGCAACACAAACAGCAAAAAAAACACTTTTATTTTCTAACAGATCCTCCTGTATTTCCCACTCCCTGCCTGCAAAACAGTATATATAAAAAAAAAAAAAAGAGGTGCTATCAGGAGTTGTGTTTAAATCAAGTTCCTCAGCCTCATTGTGTGCAATCCATCACCGAGCAGACCAATTATACAGGCGCTTCACTCTGCATCAGTGTGTGTGTGTGTGTGTGTGTGTGTGTGTGTGTGTGTGTGTGTGTGAGAAGCTGTCTTAATCCTGAATGTTGATTTTTCTGGTGTATAATTCTCAAACTGCTGACTGCACATTGAGGAGATTAAACCCCCCCACACACAACAGAGGAAGATGAGGCCCTTCGTCTCCTATCGGGACACCATATGGAAAATAAGGGCTGATTGAGGTCTGAACGTGGGCGAGGGTTCTTTGATTTTTTTTATTTCTTTCCCCCCCCCCCCCCCCACGCTGCTGCAGAAGATTTTAGAAAAAAATCTTCCCCCACTAAATTATTCACAGGCGTTCCCGCCTTCTGTGCTGCATTACTTTTATTGACCTTATACAGGAGGCACATCGGGCTCAACCGTAGAACCGAGCCGCGCTGACGGATCGCTGCCTCCGCCTCGAGCCCTCTGCGACACGCGCAAACAGTCGTCTTTTTTTTTTTTTTACCCTTTCTCCCTTCAGGCCGAGGGAGCCTCCTGTCTGCTCTCATCCTTGGCTCGAAAGCTCCGGGGTGACAAACCCTTCATTAGACTAAATACTTACATACATAAGTCGCTCTCAATATTTGAACCCTCGTCTTTACAAAAGGCTGCAAACACTTCCTGACTAACGGCTAGAGACGCTTGAAGTTTAGACCTTTAACGTCCACTTACACAACTCTTAAATCAACTCTTGAATCATATTTCAAACAACCACCACGAATAAACACCCGTGTGCCCGCTTGGTAATCATAGAGAAAAAGGCGCTCCTACTTAACTAGCCTGAGAATCGTGACGTTTTAAACTCGTCTCCGGTATCAAAGTCGTCCGGTGATAGTTGACGGTACACTGCTAACTTTTGATGGTGCCAAAATGCAGAGACGTCAACAAAAACACAGGTGACCCCTCCTAGAATGTAAATGCATGATATCATTTGAGGTCTGTAGTTACAGGACACAGACTGCAGACTCCTGCAGCCCTAGGGCTCTTGTTAGTGCAGAGAAGGCATGCACTGTATGCACAGTAAGAGTGGAGGGACGCCTCAGGAGTTTGTAATATCTACGGAGAGTCTTCTCGTCGAGGAGATTAGCTTCTTCCCGCTGGGTGTGTACATGGTGATGTAGACTGTCATAACATGATCACGGGAATTAGATCAAATAATCGGAGACATTTGAAGCGACCTAGTGAGATAGAAACAACACACATCCACAAATATTTCCTCCCCTCTTGTTAGCATACATTCAGTAAGGAAAATCAATAAGACGTTGGATATTTATCTCATTCACTCAATAAAAACAGTACAGTTATCGCAGATTACGAGGGTGTTGAGTGTCGTCTGTAGAGCAGACAGCACAAATAATAAAGACGTCCTCGAAAGTTTAATATTAATTGCCTGCCTCTGCACGACGGCGTTTGAGGATTGGAGGCAGGCAGGGCTGGAGGTTTATGGGTTATCATTCAGTCTCCATATGCTGGAGGACTAACTTCACCGTCGGTTAATCCTTCGTCATGTGACTCGCCGAGACACAAAGCAAGTACGACACAGCTTTATAGCAGAGGTGGAGGGAGAGAGGAGGGGTTTTTTCAAGTCACAAGTTAAGACACTAGACAAGACAGGCAAGTACCAAGTCAACACTGACTAGTGCCAAGTCCAGTTCTAGTAAAGAAAAGTAAGTCCCAAGTCAAGTTCCCTAGTCGTCACAAGTCAAGTCAATTCCCAAGACAAGACTGACAAGTCCCAAGTCAACACCCCACTCAAGAGAGGCAAGTCTCACCTGCTAAACTTGGAGTTTTTAATTCTAAACAAGTCATAATGTTGTTAAAATGCCATTTTAACAACAGAATACATTCAATTTACAAAAATCCTGAATGCTTTTTAAAATTTGTATTTTATTTATTAAAACAAGTGCAACTTAAATCATAAAAAAGGATCTGGGGATAAAAATATCGACTTGCTGGGACGTTAATTCAAGAATTTAATTGATTCGTAGTACACTTTTTAAATACAATACGTTTTAATCTTTGAAGGGAAGTCGTCAAGTATTTTCAAGTCAAAAGAATCAAGTCCAAGGAAAGTCACGAGTCAATGGAGTCATTGAAGTCACTAGTTATTGGTGTTAAAGTACAAGTCGAGTTGTAAGTCTTTTTGACTTTGTCAAATCGAATATAAAGTCTTCAAAGTTGTGACTCGAGTTTGACTCGGGTCCAAGTCACGTGACTTGAGTCCACACCTCTGCTTTATAGGGCTCTCCGACCCCTGTGCAACCACGAGCAACTTTAATGATCCTGAAATATATACGAACTGTAACTTCTGATTGATTATTCTTCTGTGAAGTCTGAACCTCACAAAGTTTGAGGTCTCTGTAGTCTGGAAGAAGTCCAATTAGTAATTTGCGCTGCATGGTGCTCCCTTTGGAAACACCGGTGCCTCACCGCTGTCTTTGTTTACTCAGTGATTTATGGGACTCAAGTGACAACGACCTTGGCTGAATGTTTAATTCCATAAAGAAATCCCTTTAGATACAGCCGCGGTAATACCCGGCGACGAGGTGCTTGTTCAAATGAGGCTCTATCGAGGCAAATGAGGAAACTCCCATTTAATCAAGTTTCAACAAGTTAGGGTCGGAATAGTTGATTTCCCTTCCTTTAATGAGTATTGTAGTGGTGATTACAACACTTACTTCATTACATTATGGAGGCATCGGAGAGGCAGCAGAGTGGACAGGGATTTACTCAACTTGTCGACTGAAGTGCGGTAACTCTGCTAAACGCTCAACTTTAAATAGACATGATCTCACACCTACTGCGCTATCCGCCGTACCCGTTCTGCCCCTCCAAGTTTCCATCCTCCACTTGTGCTTTCAACTTAAAATATTCTCTTTGGTATCTTACAATATGGTAATGGGGCAGATATCGGGAGGAATTAATAGCGTTCCGAAGCGAAAGTGCATATCTGGCGAGGCTTCGTGGGTAATCTAAGATGTGCTGAGCTCGTTCGCGCTCGACAAACGAACTCCGACCCCAGACGTCCAAAAATGTCAAGGTAGAGAGGGGTCAATACTATCCTCTCGTGGGAAGGATGCGGATGGAAAGACTAATTGAGTTTAATTGTGCTGACTGTAACAGTAACTGAACCTCAGAGTGATAGAATGCGATACAGATGCGGAGCACTATAGGCGCTTGATTGCTTTTGTCAATGGATTTACTTGGCACCGCTTTGTTAAGACCCAGTAATGCGTGTTCGGAGCGATCCGAAGAGGGCTGACGGGTTGTCTCCGAGCCCAAAGATTGAGTTTGATGTTTTCCGCCTGAAAAGGGAATCCGCATACCTGACTCAAGGTGATATCCGTCTTGGTATTCAGTGGTGGGGCTACCCCTCTGAGATTAGACGGAAGAAGCAATCCCTATCTTTGAGGATACGTGACATGCCGTCAACCTTCTACTGCGATTTGGAAGGCAATACAAGTTACTGTGTTGAAGGTATTTACAAGGATCATCTTATTTTCACTTCTACCATTTCTCTGCTGTCACCGGGATATTATATTGTCCTTGATATGGGAAAATGTTTTATGAGGTGACAAACGTCAACCAGTGATTTGTTTGTCTCTTGACTCGAGGACTTCTCTCTGACTTTCCAAGAGAGACTACCAAGAATGAAAATGTAATTTTAGGATGTTTATCGCTTTAACAACAAATTGGAAACGTCTCAACAGAGTTGCACTGTAGAATTGGAAATGTCATTATGTTAGAGTGATTTCTCTAATATTCTGGCAGAATTCAGTGATCGTGTGTTTGCACAAATGAGTTTTATTCATATCTGTAGCTTAAAAGATACACTGATGTTTCCTGGGACACAAAGTTATGTCTACAGTGACTGGTTGTCATTCTCCACATGGTGCCTTTAAGTAAAGCATGCCTGTGTTAATTCTTAGATCTCTTAGACATGCACATGCTCCGGAGGACGATGGGGAACCACAGCATGCAGTATGAAGAAGTGCCGAATATTTGTGTTGCATTTATTGCTGAAAGAAACAGTCCAGGTATTGATCAACAATACGTTAATACAAGTTTGAAAGTAGATATACTTGAGAAAAGCGAATCAGTTACTGACTCCCACAAGAACAGGACTCATTTCCTGAATCATGTCTGCTGCTTCACAGTTTCATTTCCAATGCTTTCTGCTCGCTTGTAATTAGGAGGACAAATCAGATTTGTGAGGAGCCGACGGTCGTCTCTTCACATTTCATCATCTCACAGCGCCTTGGGTACGAAACACCACCTCATGGCGAGGCTGTGATTAAAAGGAGAGTTCAGGGTTGTGGCGTATGAGATTATTACTGTTCATTATTACCGGCGTGAGTCATTGCGGCCGAATGCGAGGAAGCAGCACAGAGGCGGTTGTGACTACTTCTGTCTGTGGACAGATTGTCAACGCGACAGCGCCGCAAACTGCGCAGGACTTGCGGGTCACGCAACTTCACAGGTGCAGGTCAAAATGAAGACGATGGGTGTGGTCAGAGCAAGGCAGCAAGGAAGTAGGGGGTAGGAAGTAGGGAAGCCCCTTTGCCTGATTTTGCGTCGTACCTGGTGTGATCCCTTCTCAAGATGGATCCCTGTATCAGGATGAGATCAGGTGATCCATGAAAAATATTCCTCTTACTCCACATCCACCACTGAGTGACTTCCAAATGCTTGCTGACCTTATGAGGTTAAATAAACAGGCCTAACATAACCCAGGCCTGGGTCACGCCTATAATGTTCCACTTTGACAACTGCGGCACGGGGGCCTTTCGGAACGCAGCTGTCACGCTTGAGGAAGTCAAAGGAACCGAAGTGAATTGTCCTGCAGCCGTCGGGCTCAGTGGAGCCCAACATACCGCCGGTGCTCAGTGGAGCCCGACATACCGCCGGTGCTCAGTGGAGCCCGACATACCGCCGGTGCTGTGGAGCCCGACATACCGCCGGTGCTCATTGAATAGATAATTCCATTTTCACTCGGCTGGATCTCTCCCGATCTAACTCAATAGAAGCTGCTGAGCCAGTGGGGTGGGGTGGGGTGGGGGGGGGGGGCAGTGAGTGCTGATTATGCAGATCTCCGCCGCGTGTGTCAAACCTTACTCCCATTGACTTGACGCCGGCGTCAATTCCCGGCTGAGGAAACCGCTCTCGGAGCCGTCAAGAGGATTTTCTGATCAAAAGAATAATTCATATTTGCAGGGCAGAGCGACCGGGTCTCTCAGATGGCAGAGGTGATTAACATGCTCCCTGCAGCGTCCCGGGTTCAAATCCCTCAGCTACTTTTATCTTTAGCCGTAGTTGCTCTGCAGATTGTCCGATAAATGCAACTAGAAATTGTCTCTGGCCTCTTGTTCCTCCATATTTTTTACTATTTTATAGAGGTAAAATACTGGTCCAGGTAATGTTTGGTGCAGCGTAGGACTTTTGCCAGGGAGAAGGGTGTTTAAAACAGTACATATTTTATTTATACAGGACAATGCCACATGAAGAGTCAACATTCCTGTAACTGGGCTAGTGTTTTTCAACTGCAGTCCATTGGCGAGATGCCCCAACACCAATGGAGGTAAAGGACCACAGGAGCGTCTGAAATTAATTCAGAAACTAAATCGGAATCTCAACGAATGAGTGAGGATGTCCCTTACTGTAGAACACAAGGAAACAGCAAAACACTGTAGTTGTATGTAACTAGCATCACAAAGCAATATAAGCAATACTGTTGCTAATGCATGTGATGTAATATTAATAAAGTGTATACCGTCTAAATTTTCACAAGCCTTAAAGCAAGACGATCACAATAAGTCACAATAACAGGATAATGCTATGCTAAAATGAAAAAGCTAAGCTTTAGCTTTACAGTAGCACAGGACGCAATGAGCCATAAAGGGACTCAATTATGATGTCAGTTACACAGCAATATGTATCTGAAGTATGCTAATGTTAGCTAACATTAGCCACCATAAGCTACTAGTCCTATCGGATCAAGTAAGGCTGTAGCGGCAAAATACGTACTGTACAAAAGTATTAAATAGAGCTACTGTTGCTGGTGAGTATATTTTTATAAAGGCACAAATGGCCAACCCTACCTCACAATATCGACATAGAGGGCATTTGGTCAAGATACCGTGATATTAGATTTTTCTCCACACCATTCAGCCCTAATGAAGACTGCATTTGTACCTCTTGCCGCCTCAGTCATGGCGGCACACGGCCGGCCCCGGCCCTGTCCCTTCGGTGACTCTCACTCTCGCACAGAAGCGCTGTGACAGGCCGGTGTGAGTGAAGGAAGCATTCCCAAATCCCCTTTGGCCGGGTCCGTCCTGCTCTCTCCGATGCTCAGCTGTGTGGCGGCGCTGAGACAAGAGAGGAAGACCCTTTTAATACTTAGTTTTAGAGATGTTGATGCAAATAATGTTTCGTTTTGATCTTGTTTTTCCAGTATGAGTTATATGACCACCTGACACAGTCTGTTCAGCACTCATGTTGTTTGTCATCATCTTTTTCTCTCAGTATTATTAATCTAACTAGAATTTGGCTCACATGGGCAGGAAAAGATTGTTATTGTTATTCTGTCTTGTAATAGACTTTGTTGTCTTATGCGCACTATTCTCATTTCCCAGGTAAACAGCCTGAATACAGCCTGTTCCCTTCGTGTATTGATGTTATTTTCACACCTTTTCATACGGCGGCGTCTTATTTCATCATTTCTCGCGTCATTGAATACGTGGGCTGCTGGAGTGAAGACAAGAAAAAGCACTGACATCTGCACACAAATGAGGAAAAACGTTCTTTTATTTTAAACCGAAAGTTTGTTTTTGTCAATCTAGCCAAAGTCGTTTCACAACCAGGCAGTTTATTTAATTACTTTTATGACGAACTGGGAACAGTCATTATTTGTGTTGTCTCATGACAACAAGAAACTGGAACACAGAGGTTTTTGATGAAACAAGTTCTATATTTTCTGTTTTAGAAGTCAGACCACGTTCACTCAGCGTGTCCCATTAATTCAAAGCTTTGTAATTCACTTCTGCAACCATGCTTCCTTCCTTTAATTGATCAGCGGAGTTATATAGAAGAATAAATGATGTCCTCTCTCTGTCACAGAGATGGACTCGTTCCGCATCCTGCTCTACTCCCTCATCTTCCTGCTCAGCGTCTTCGGCAACCTGCTCATCGTCGTGGTCCTGGTGCTGAACAAGCGCATGCGCACCGTCACCAACTCCTTCCTGCTGTCGCTGGCGGTCAGCGACCTCATGATGGCCGTCTTCTGCATGCCCTTCACGCTCATCCCCAACATCCTGGAGGACTTCATCTTCGGGAGCGCCATGTGCAAGGCAGTCTCCTACTTCATGGGTGAGGACGGGGTTTTTCCCTGAGTATGAAGCTAAGGACAGCAGCTGCTTAGCTTAGCATAAAGACTGGAAACAGGAAGTCACTGCACATGATCCCCCCCCCCCCCCCCATAAAACACTTTGTTTTTTGTACAGATAACATGTTAATTAGTGAGCTTCAGAGGTGCTTGTAGGTGGATTTTGGTAACTTTAGAAAGGTCCAGGCTAGAGGTTATTTCTTAACTATTTAAAATTCAAATGAAATGCTAATTTGAGTGGCCCATTATTTCCAAAATCATTCATGGAGTCACATTCGTCAGGAGCACAGGCGGGGATCAAATGAATCTAATTTTACATAACAATGAGCAGGTCATTCAGTGACTCAATAAAGATTTAAATATGTGGCTCTGAGAGCTGGGTCTCTGGGCCAGTTGATGGAGCTTGGGAGCTAACCGCTAACAGCTGGTCAATCACCAAAGCTCCACGAGCTTCTTCAGCGTGTTCGGTTTATTGCTCCGTTCATCCCACACACACACACACACACACACACACACACACACACACACACACATCCCTTTGGCACTTAGTTCCCAGGACACCATTCCTTTCAATTGAGAGTTACTGAAAAAAAAGAGTTGAGAGTTGAGATGTTAGCAGGCAGGCAGCCACAGGATGGCCTCGGGCAGCCATCCTTAAAGAAGAACA